CATAAAAACGTAGGTCTATCGTATTTTTTGCACAGGGCCCTTACAGATGATGCAACAGGTATAAAAGTCGCTGCCAAAATCGTAGTAGCAGCGTTGTGAATCGTAGTAGCAGCGTATAGTGTATAATGTAAACACAGTGTAAACACCCCGTATAGGACATATAGGGGCTATGTATTAACCCACCTAGCCCCCTAGGGTTAGGGTTAGGGTTGTAGTGAGTTGACCCAGCTATCCCCCACAGACCCCCTAATCTGCACTCAGTTGAACCCCCTATCCTCCCCCAGGGGCTGCACTCAGTTGAACCCCCTATCCCCCCCCAGGAGCTGCACCCCTATCCCCCCAACCCCAAAAGTGCACTCCGTTGAACCCCCTATCCCCCACAGCCCCAAAAGTGCACTCAGTTGAACCCCCCATCTAGGCGGTTTATACTACTGAGAAGTTATCCACAGGTGAATGAGATATTATATAAATATTGCATGTAGTTGAGTGCAACATTGAAAACTTTCACCCCAAGAAAACCATTGTCAACCGAGGCGCAGCCGAGGTTGACTATGGTTTTCGAGGGGTGAAAATTTTCAATGTTACACTCAACTACATGCAATATTTATTATATTATACTGAATGTTTTATACAAATACATATAACAGTGAACCGTGCGCGCATAAATTCTGCGCAGTCGCTATTTTTTGGAATACCACCCGTCGTCAAGCACTGTTGACTGTTGTTACGCTGGAGGGCGTGGCTTCATTATTCAGCGGGTAGTAGTGTTTTATAACAAATGTTTCTCAACCAATCAGATTCAACTAATTTTACATGAAGTATAATATATAGAAATAGCAGATAAGTAATATTCACGCTCAAACGTCAAACAATACAAATCGGGACCAGATCAAACACGGACTTATAAAACATCAGAGGTGAGATTAGGTGCTAGCAAGGAATGAGCGTCCCCTTTACCAAATCAACCCATTGAAGTGGCGAACATACACTGACTATAGAAAGTTAAAGAACATTAAGTCGAGATGAGCTGACCCAAGAAAAAACATTATTTTGTTGAGATGAAATTCAGTAAAAGACCGCATGTTTGCTGTCAACCGCATCAAACGATGATAAAAAATTGATTTAAACATTGCTTATAGAAATAATTCATAAGAAATTGTTTGCAGGTACTCTTGATGAACTGGTTGGCAGATGACTTTGAAATATCTCCTGAATAAAAGAATACTCCCCACGAACAGTTGATGGAAAAATAAACATGAATTGGTGATATAATTATGTCTTCCCTATTTGTCTCTATTTCAGAAATTTGATTTATCATTGTTGTGCACAATCTGTAAATATATAAGTATGGCACGCCAAATTCACAAAAATGAGCAAAACATAGTTTCATAGTCGATAAACTAGGTTTATCGGTTGTAAACTATAGTTCACGGACTGTAAACTATAGTTAACAACGTTAATCTATATTTTACATCTGTAAACCATAGTTAACGCGATAATCTATGTTTCACAACCGTAAACTATACTTAACATCGAAAACAATCATTTGCGATTGCAAAACATAGATTATCTGATAAATACAGTTTCACGATTTGTAAACTATAGTTTACAAACCGTTAACTATAGTAAACGATCTGATAAATATAGTTTCACGATTTGTGAAACTATGATTAACAACTCATTGTTGTGCACAATCTGTAAATATATAAGCTTTAATGTAAGTGTCTGTATGGCGCAAAAACACACTGTTAAATTCTATATTTATTGTATATTTAGATATAAAATCAACTGAAATTGAATATTTCCCATTTCGTTTTTATTTTACAGTTTATAATTTATTTGCTGGCCACTTTCCCGTCCTTCCTTAGGAAGTTAATAATCAGTAGGACCCCGGACACTGAGTAGAGTAAGAAGGCCACGACACAGAAAGCCCAGCCCCAGGACAGGTTGTTCAGGAAGGCCGCATAGATCAACACGGTCAGCAAGATAAAGCCACCTACAACATTAAAAATTAAATATAGAAAAAAATATATTGAGAAGAGTTGTGCAAAGAGCTTATAAGTGTATATGCAATGTCTTCTGGTCAATTTATTGATTTTTCATTATATAACATAATTAAATATGTTCGATTCGAAACATATGCTTAGTTTCTCATAAAAGAGACTTATCTCGTTTCTCCAAAACGCTTGTTTTTGTAATAATATGCGCAGAGAAATGATTTACAAGGTTTCACTATTTATGAACACGTTTATTGGTGCAAGAAATTTCATAATTTTGTTAAAGCAATATAAAAGGACTCATATAACTGCCAATGGTTTGACTGCTTGATGTCCAGGAGTAAAAAGGCTTTGTTTTTTAAAATATATTAATTTTAATTGTTTTGGTCCAAATACTCAAGCTTAAGGGAGAGCAATGGACTATCTTTTCTCCTTTTAACATAAAAATGGATGAGATTGGTTCAGCAGTTTATGAGAAACTGAAAATTTTCAAAAGTTTATGTTCACCGAGGGAAGATGCACACGATGGACGAAATTTCAATTATCTGTAATTTATAACTGAAAGGGATAAATAATTATAAGGCAGCTTCCACACCAGGAATGAAAACCTGATGAATTTGAATAGATACAAACCTGTCACAAAACACGTGACCACTGCGGCGATGTACACGATATAAATGCTAAGCTTTTCTACAAAGATGTACAGGACCAGAAGGACTATGGTAGCGATGGATCCTATAAACCCAAAGGCAGCAAAGGTCCGGGAGGCCTCAAACCAACCTACAATGGGGAGTATGAGACATACCAAATAATCAGAACTAAGGTTAAAAAAATAGGAAAAGTTTTCAAAAATCCTTCAAAAATCCTTACCTTTATCGTTTCATGCGAAATGATGTAAATCTGAATGATAACAGGGTGGTTTTGACTTTGGCCGATTTTTTTAAAATATAAAACCTGCCCAATTGCAAAGTTAATGGATAAACTTTAAATTTATTGCTTTATTCGTGTCTCATATCAGACTTGCTTGGTTTCATTCCCTATCTGCAGCTTATCTTTTCGAATAAATTTCTCTAAACAAACACGGAAAATACCAAAGTAATGATTGCCATGAAAATAAAATTGCTGTTTTGCATCAGAAAATTCATTGAAATATGTTTAAATTTACTTTCTCATATATTTACAGAATGTTTTCTTTAATTGAAAATAATGTAGGGAAAACTTGATAAATATTGTTTACTATGTTTACAATTTGCAATACTTAAACTGATGTTTGAATCCGGCATCCCATTTGTTCACTATGTCGTGGGGACACAAAAGATAGTATTTAAAGGTATAGGTACATGTGTAAATAAATACCATATTATTAACAAGGCAAACTCTTAATTTATATTAAAAAGTAAAAAACAAATAGCAATGATCTATAAATACTTACTCGCCAGATTCTTAAATGAGTAGTCCGTGCATTCTGAGTCAATACAAATTGACCATAGACCTTCATGGTAACTTTTCAATTCAAACCAATAAGGTACAGAGAAACCGATGAGATTGATAACGAAAGCTGCAATCACTAGAACACATGATATTTTCAAAAACAGTGGAGTGTCTATTACTCTGTCTTTGATTCCCATGATGGACAAGAATGCTTCCGACTCTAGGTTTGTTCGTTCTCAAAGTTTTGTCATCACAACCGTATGCATAACAACTGATTTTATGTACCATGGAGTCCACAGCGACGTTGCAGTTGAAATTCCTTTCTTCCATTCAAATTTCTTATCAGTGTTTTGTAAATTTTTCCTTACCCGGGTCCTACAAATGAATGACGTATAGATAATCAATTTAGAGTTTCCCTTTAATTTGACCCTTTATTATGATGTTGGACTTTTATTTTGTTAATCAAATTCTGTGTTTACCTACAGTGTCATTAATCAAGGTCCTGATTTTCTTTCACTAAATTCCATCACTGGACGCTCTTCCTGTGTATTCCTGTATTTTATTTTATTGATGTAATGCTGTCTATTTTATGCTTCAATATTTTCCATAAATATTTTTGTTTCTTGACTTAATGAAAAACATGGATAATGTACAGTGATTGATGCCATGTAGAAACTAGAAAGCAACACAGATCTTTGAGCAGGGCACAAACATAAACCCCGTAAACTCCAGGTGTAATCAGATGTCTAGGGGAGTAGGCACCCCTTGTTCTGTTGACCAGTCACACCCGCCGTGAATCCAACTTCCCTTACTTGTGCAGCAATATACCTTCATCATCTGCATACGGAGTTTATTTCTATCAGTTGATTCGATACTCAAGGACATGTTCTACGTATGTACAATTTATAAAACGATGTAAATTATTGACAAACATGTTGATGAAACAAGACTATCAGCAGTCTCGTTTAATGTCATCATTTCGTAAATTCTATGGTCGATACAATGACCTTGTCAACTAATACAATTTATCATTGAATCAAATGCTGACTAACATTTTCATACTTATTGTTAGTCCATTATTTACACGCTGAATTTGCGGCGGATTTTTACGTTATTTCCCGATTATGACGAGGAGCACACGACGGGTGTGAACGGTCAGCAGGGGATGCTCACTCCTCTACGGTACCTGATCCCACCTCTGATGTTTCGGAGGTCCGTGTTTTCTCTGTTCCTTTTCTGTATTGTTTATTGGACTTTTGAGCTTGAATATTTTTCGTTATCTCCATATATTTTATCCAATATATTAGATTCTGATGATTATTCTTAACTTGACCTATTTAATATATTTCATAATTTTGAAGCACAAAATTATATTTTATCAATTTGAAGCATAAAATTAAATGAGGTGAATAAATTCATTTATTTACAAATGTTTAATAAACCACGTTTCTGCATATAGATAGATAAGCGATTTTTATTTGAAAATCTTATCTAAGCCCAAAAGCTCATGATTATTTTCAGATGATTGAAGAAATATGGAGGACATGATATATTTATTCTTGATATTACTTTCAAAAACAGGTAGTGTAACCATTATACATCTTTAAGTGATAATATAAATACGTGTAATTTCAGCTCTAGATAGATAATATGCTAGTGTCCTACTTATTCTTCGATAAAAAAAACCTAGAAGAATGTAAGCAAAACTATGAATAATACACAAAACTCAAAATTTTAAAATTGAATTTCATATTAAAAAAGAATGCGATCTTCCTCACTCTTATGTATTCTTTTCTGTTCTTTTGAACATATTTAGTTATATCAGTTAAAAAGCAAAGTAGGCCATCAAATAATTCAGGGGGTAAAAGTAGAATTTATGTCATGGAGTGGTTGTTTATTGAACAATAAGTCAGAGAGGTTCGTCTGTTATGAAGAAAAAGTTAGAGAGTAGGTGTTTTATGTAGAATGTCAGGGAGAAATGATTAATACGCATGCAGAGCTAATTGGTTATTTTCATTTTCTTATTTTTTTTTTCAAAAATGTATATTTACTTATTTATATACAATCAACGAATTTGAAAACAGCAACATATAATACTTAAAATTATGAAGTCAATTAATAGATTTAATTTCATTGGAATTTTTGATTGAATAGATTGAATCAGGTTCGATTTCTTATATTTCCTTCAGGTTTAATTCTCTTTCAGTGCTCTGTCAGTTTTCTGACAATGTGGCATTTACTTTGGGGCAGACCAAACATCTGTACCTCAGTCATGGCGAACAGATAGCCTATAACAAAGTTATCACAAATATCTCTGCCACGTTTGATCCTCAGGGATCTTTTATTTGTACAAACCCAGGAATTTATGCCTTTCACTTTTTCTCTTTGGCTCATACCCAAAGCAAGATTTGGATAGAACTCTATAAGAACACAAACTATATCTGCTCTGTGTATGGGTATACGTCACATGGTTATGCAGATGCTGGAAATTCTGTTCTGCTTCATTTGAATTTAAATGATCACGTGAGTATCAGAACTCACCAATCGTATAACACGACACTCTTTGGAACAGACGACGAGATTTACACCACATTTACTGGAATTTTACTTTCTTCTGACGAATTCGGTAAGGCCTCCTTTCAAATTCATGTATATATAATATTTGTTTTCAAAAGCGCAAATTATCTTACTATTTATTTGTATCAAATGATGCCAAACATATATCTAGTTATTAATCAAATTTTATTTTTCGCAAAATATGGATTCAATTTATTTTACTATGCAAATATAATGATGATTTCCCTTTCAAGTAGACATACACGTTTGTAGTATTGTGTTAAATGTTGTGATTTATACTTAGATTTCTTAATTTATTTCAAATTAAAAAAAAAAAACCTTTACAGAACATTCCTATGAGGACGTGGCCTTCTCGGTTGGAATTGACCATCATTTTCATGCAACTAACGGTGAAACGGTTATGTATAACAAACTCATGGTTGAAAGTGATGCATACGATCCCCTGACGGGTGTATTTACTGCGCCGGTGGATGGAACCTATATTTTTCACTATCATGGACTCGCTCAAAATAATCAGGTACTCGTATGTTTTTTCCTCGTCGAGTTTTGGCTTGTGTAACAGGTAGAACAACAAAGTTTTTATGCGCCCGCATCGATAGATCCAGGGCATATATTGTTTTTGTCCTGTCTGTCTGTCTGTCTGCAAACTTTAACCTTCACAATAACTTTTAAACTATGAGAGATAAAAACGTCATATTTGATATGCATACTCCAATAATTAAGGACTTTCAAATGACATCAAGGTCAACGACCTTGGGACCTTAACTGTGACCTATATGCTAAGAGTAGCTTTTTTGTCCGCAATTTTTAACCTTCCCATTTAGTTTTTAACCATGAAAGATAGAGACTTCATATTTGGTATGCTTACTCCACTAATGAAGCTCTTTCAAATGAAACGAAGGTCAATGACCTTGTGACCTTGACTGTGACCTATATGCTAAAAATAGCTCTTTTGAACCTTCACCATAACTTTTGAACCATGCGAGAAAGAGACCTCATATTTGTTATGCATACACCACTATTCAAGTTCTTTCAAATGAAACAAGGCCTTGTGACCTCGACTGTGACCTATAAGCTAAAAATAGCTTTTTTCGAACTTTGTTGCCGCCAGGCGCATGGTGTTTCACAAACATCTTGTTCTTAATATTTTTGACAATACTTGCTTTGTTTTCTAAAACATATGTACTTCACTCAGTTGATTTGGTTGGAGCTTTACCACAACAAGGACTACGTTAACGCTGCTTACGGTCACACGGTGTCTGGGTTCGCTGATGCCGGTAATACTGCTGTGCTGCACCTTCATTCGGGGGACAAGGTGTACGTAAAAACCAGAAATAACAGAGCGATTGACCTCTTTGGAACACCAAACGAAGTCTACGCCACATTCTCAGGGATTCTATTAGCCCCTGTAACCCACGATTCCGACGGTACGTAAAGAAATGATTAAAGGAATATCAACTCTTTTTTCTGCACCTGTACTAAAAACTAGCTTATAGTTAATGAAGTGCATTTGTATGACGTCCATCACGGTTACTTTCTTATAAATTCAAATTTCAGATTCCCAGTCTGAAGTTTCATTTTCTGCTGGCCTTTCGCATCATTTTTCGGGAACCACTCTAATCTTCGACCGAATTTTCTCTAACCGTGGAGGCGGATACAGCCCGGTCACGGGGTATTTCACCGCTAGAGAGAGTGGTATTTACGTGTTTCATTTCCACGCCTTGTCACGTTCTGATGCTAAAGTCTGGGCGGAGTTGTACCATAACTATCACTATATCGACTCATTGTATGGTCGATCTAATGGAGAGTTCGCCGCCGGAAGTAACGCTGCAGTCTTAGATTTAGTGTCAGGTGACACAATCTTTTTAAAATCTAGACAGTCCACTAATTCTTACTTCGGGGCACCAGATGAAGTATATTGTACTTTTTCTGGCTACAAAATTACATTGGAAGATCACATACTTATAGGGAACCCGGGTGAAGTAATTGGTTAATTGCAATAAATCTTCATAAAGCCTTAACTTTTCTTGATTCTCGTCATCTTTGTGTTAACGACTGGTTAAAAAAGATGTGAACAATTCAGTTTCATAATTTAAAAAAATTAATCCTACAATGGTTATTAAAATGTTTTGATAAAACCTGTGATGTTAAACAAATTATCAGATTTCTAAGGTCGGTGAAGATTGGTACAAGGTTTTAGATAGAATTTCTTGTTCTTTCTTAAAAAAAAATTATTTCATATAATAGTTGTTTTTTGTTATTTTGATTTATGGAGCATTAAATAAAATTTAGACATTTTTTTTTTCATTTTCACAAAATAATTTGTAAAGTGAACAGCTTAATCTGTAAAATTAACTTGCATGGAGATAACAAACAGTATTCAATCTCAAAAGTCCATTAAACAATATAAATCTGGAGCAAAGCAAACACGGACCTCTTAAACATCAGAGGTGGGATCAGGTGAAATGGAGGAGTTAGCATCCCCTGCAGAGCGGTCACAATCGCCGTTTGCTCCTTGTCATGATCGGCAAATACTTAACGGGAAATCAGTCGTCAATTCAGTATATAAATGATGTCCTTACAATTGGTACGAAAAACCAACAAATTTAAACTTTTATTCACGATTGGTTTTTAAATCAAAATTATAAATTGCTTTTGTGTTTTCATAATCAAGTCTCGTAAGGTCAAGAAAGATAAATCGTGCCCACGAATGTTGTACGTTTACATGTAATTTAGTTCAACCAGTCTCATTTATTCAAAAGCATGCTCTATGCATGAACGATTTTTTAAAACGGGGTATGTTATTGACATATTGAGGAAACAAGAATATCACAATGTCGTTAAAAATCGTTCTTTCGAAAATTCTGTGCTAATATAATGACCTTCTCAGCAAAGCCAATCTATAATTAAGTCAAATGCTGAAGTCCTGCCTTTTTTCGTACAAACTATCAGACCATTATTTACTCATTGAATTGTAGACGGATTATCTCGATATTTTCCGACCATTACAAGTAACACACGGCAGTATGACCAGCCGGCGAGGGATACTCATTACCCAATGGCACCTGATCCCACCTCTGATGTTCTTGGAGTCCGTTCTACACTGCTCCTGATTTGTTTTGTTTCATGGACATTTTCAAGAGGTTGAATACTGTTCATTATCTCCATATATTTCATTCTTGTCACAAGTACTAATCGATTTTCTTGTAAAAGTAAATTTGTTTTAAAATTAGGAACTTGCATTGAATTAACATTTTTCATAATAATAAATGCTTTGTGACTTTGTCCTATGACCAATCCGCTACAAACTAAAATCGGGGCGGCGATTTTTCATCCCAAAGTAACAACAGAAGAACAAATTGTGCACATATTTGGTGCAAATTGCACTAAATAATTAAATTAGTGAAAAGCACAAATTACGCCTTAAAATTGAATTTTTGAAATGAATGCAAATTGCAATGAAAATGATGAATGTGCAACACGCACACAAATGGCTCATGATAAGCATCCAGGATATGTCGGTGAAACAAAGTTGCAACAATTAAAATGAATTTAATGATTCAAATCAATTCTCGAAGTATTGATAAAAATACTGTCTACCAAATCTGAGAAATGAACTCCACTTACAGTTTCAAGATTGTAAACTATGGTTTACAACTCTTAACTATTGTGGTAAGGTTATTTGCAGGTACCCCTATTATTTTTTTATGGTGTACGGGAGATAACTCTTAGATATTTATTTTCCAGAATGGGAAGTCCGAAAGGTTTAGAATAATATGTGTGCCTGCTGTAAACGATAAACCTGCTACAGTTTTCCTCTGCTCTTTTTAGGTAAGATTCATGTTTTTTACATAAAGATGATTAAGTTTACTTTTGCATTTTGTGTAAGAGGATTGTTGTCATTTGTTTACATTTGTATTTTGTATGCAGAACAGCTAGAATATATATGATTGCGCCCATGACAAAAGGGCTTTATGGCATTTTTGCTAGAACAGAGAAATAACGTCATAAAGATGTGACGTTGCAGACTGACGGTGAACTTTTTTTTTTGAATTTTTTTAACCACGTGTTTTGACGTTTGACGCATCCAGAGCTTTTATTGCTGTTTCCAACATGTGGAATTTATTTTCATTTATAAGTTAATTTAATCAATATCTGAATCTCCTGATCCAATGATTTTAATAGATATATAAATGAAAACATTAGGAACTGGTTTCTTAACAAACATATCTATTATACGTCTCTAATACCAATAGTTTTCCTACATGTATCTTCACAGGTACCTGAAGTATGGATAATACCCCCCCTTTTTTTTTAATAAAAAAAAATGTTAAGAATGTATAAAACCTCAAAAAAAAATAAAATTTCC